CTTTTAGTTGTTGAGAGGTGTGAACAAGAAGAGTCAGCATGTCCATCTGATTGTTGCACTGAAGATTAGCAAGCTGACTTTCTTAAACCTCTAGTAGCCCAAGATCAGAATAAGGCTTCAAAGTAGCCCCTGTTCCATACAAAAGTGGCTGTAGTAGAACTGATAAAAGTGTCTCATGTCATCTTGTGGCCTACAAGAAACTGCTAAGTATTCTTTTGCAGAGCAAGGTTAATAATGGGTTTGTAATGTTTTGAAACAAACTTCACTTGTACCATCCACTCTTCTTGTTTGGCTGCTTATTTGTCAATGCACTATATGTGGACCACTGGACCAAAGCATCTAGCAGTACATTTTATCTGCACTGAAGCTTATATTTTCAACATCTTTTCAGGTTTGCAAAAGAAAGCATTATTAACAGCCAAGAGAAGCAGCTCCAGAGAACTTTCCCTGCAGATGTGCCATTTTTCTGCATAATTTGCATGTTTTCTTGAATTGTTATGAGTCATCCCAGTGTGCCTTGTTGTATCCCCTCTTTATATTGGTGGTTAGCATATATGAAAGTAGTTTGCATTATTATTGTAGTTTATGCTTTCATCTCCCGCTTTGCCCCCCGTTTTTGCTATTAAAGTTAGTAAACTAGCAGTCTACATTTGTCTTATGTATTTCTAAGCTCTGTTTTCTCTTTGTGCTTCCATGAAGTTCCACTTTGATTGTCAACAATGTTAAATAAAGGGTAGGAGTAAGTAAAAGGGTTTTGTAATTCAGAATACTGTCATAATAGTAGTTTTCAACACTAGAATAAACAGACAACTCTTAAAATACATATTAATGCTGCAGATGGTTTTCAAAAGCTAGAAGGAATGTTTCTTTAAGGAGAATAGCCTATCCATAAAAATTGCATTTGTCTTAAGACAAAACCCTTGTATACTACTTTCATCAAGCTGCTCATTATCAGAGGGGATAGAAATTGAAATTGCTGTTGTGGATGGGAGGCGGACAGAAAGTTCTGTGTAACGTTACTAATTCTTCCTGCTGTGTACCTGCAGTAGTCTCCATGAATTATTTAATGGTTTTATTTTACATTCTCTGTCAGAGGCAAATAACTGCATTTAGTGCCATGCATGACTGGAAAATGTGTTGCGTTTTCTGTGTCTTGCTAAGGTCACCTAGTCCAAGAGATGGCACTCTCATCCTATGAATTTCAGTTACACTATTTAAAATTGTTTATGATTTCTTCTTGAAGGGGGGGAAGGGGAACCCTTGCCTTGAATATTTTATAATGTAAGAGGAAATCACACCACTGCAGTACTACAAATACTATACTATAATAAAGTCAGGAATACAGCAACAATTTGGGGTTTTAACTTTAATCAGTTATACACTATAGCAAAAATACTAGTTTTTCTGTAAGTCATGTTCTGCACTCCACTATGCATATGATAATTTGAGTATGAGTCCCTCATGCTTGCTATTCATGTTCTGTATGAAATGGCTCCCTAACCTTGCTCTGCTACCAGTGTTGCTGTGTCACCACCTCGTGGCGAAGTTGCTGTACAGTAGTTAAATATAGGCATAGTGAAAGATGAAGTTTCTCCATGTGTGTTTAACTAGACATTTTTGACCAAAATTATTCCTGACTTTTAAAAACATTGAAGACCGTGTATCTGAAAATAGGAGAAGATGGATAACCTCCATCATGTTAGGAAAGCTGCTACCAAGTAGTCAATATGTCTGCAGTGCAACAGAAAAGAAGGTATTTAACATTTCCAACGTAGAATAAAAATGGGTATCATCTATGTGGAAGACCACTCATTTCTGGCTTAAATATAAGGATCTAAAAATTCACAAATTTAAATGTGGTCAGCAGTTGACCAAAGTGTGCAATTCAGCAGAAACCCAAAATCCTCTACCCTGGGTGTTTAGGAGAAATGAGAGCAAAGATTTATAACTGTGAGAAAAAGTGGCTTTAAGCCTTGCTGAATTGGCTGTCAGACATAATGTGTGGAGTTTGGCTGAAATGTTAGTTTTAAAGACATTTTAAGGTGAACTTAAGTTTGGTGTTCGTTTTGCCAAGACATTGAATTTGAAATTCAGTTTGCTTTCTCCTTTTATCATAGTTTGTATAACAGAAGTGATGTATTTTTGGGTTTATACCACTCAAAATTTATAAATAGATTGTTGGGGGTTTTTTTGGTTTGGTTTGGTTTGGTTTTTTTTAACTGGGAAATAGAGTGAAGTGAAATAGGTGTTTCTATATATAGTTACTTATCATTTGCCTAGTTTTGTTAGTAACCTGTGGCCAGAAACCTGCAGTAATCCCAAACTTTTTGTTTAATGTTCTAATATAATAAACAGTGTGGGCTACATTATTTTACTTGCATCATGATTCATTGATCAAAGTTTCTGCCTAATTTAGGCCACTTGAACCTTCCAATAACCACCCCTTCAGTTCTCTGTTAGTGTATCTTGCATGTTAACCATTTGAGAGATCACTTCTCTTTCAGTGCAGAATCAGCACACATCCCCAGCCCTACAAAGAGAAGCAAGTCAGAAGCTTATCCTTTTAGGAAAAATCAATGTATCTTCTTGTAGTCCAGTGCAATTTCAAATAAATAATTTCCAGAATTCAAATCTGGTTTTCCTTCAACCTTTGTCTTCTTGATCTGTGTAAGTAAACCAGTTGGTCTTGTTAGAAAGATCTGTATTGCAGTTCTTGGCACAAGTGGGGTGTCAACTCATGCCCATATAAAAACATTACTGTACTTCACACTTGTGCTTTATAGACTGAAAAAGTAAAAATAACATGAGGGAGCAAAATTCTTTGAGCACTTAAAAAAGCAAACAAAAAACCAACCAACCAACCAACCAAAAAAACCCAAACCGGCAGACTTTCAGTCTAGGGCTTCCTGCAGGTTTGTGAAGTAATTCTAAGTCATCTGCAGAATATTTATGAGGAAAAATAAGCCTATTTTGGTTGGGTTAAATTTGCTGTATAGGCATCCACATCTGTTTTAAAAGATGTTAGGTGTTAAGCAAATTAAAAGCAGTATTCTCATGGTAAGTGTGCACCATTACGTCTGTCACTTATGGGAACAAAACTCAAAGCAACACCTACGTGAGCCAGGAGTGTCGATAACCTGTAGCTATCACAGCTGTTATATGTGCATCAATACTGCCAGTGGCTCACAAAAATACAAATGTATGTTAAAAAAACTTTATAATATGCGCGGCTTCCCTTATATCAAAAAATGAGACATTACAAGTTCATATCCTAAAACATCATCACACCTTATTAGTAGGAATGAACATTAAATCACAGCTAGTAAATTATAATACAGCGCAGAAAAGGTAGGTTATGCATGTGTCCTTAGTAGAGAAGGCAGACAAAAGTAACGTACTAACCAGCTTTCAACTGAGAAAAGTCTAAATGCTCATGATGGTTTTTGATTTTTACATTGTGTGCAAATAAAAATGACTAAGCAATGTATTGTTGGAATAGATACTAACAGGGAAGCTTTTAATCACTACAGATAATTTAAAAAATGAGGATAGATGATTTTTTAATTTTTTTTTGTCGTACATTCATTACAAAAAAAACCCAAAACCAACTTTTTATTTCTGATATTAAACCAAATGTTTAAATGTTACTTTTGAACACTAAGTTCATCCAGGGTAAAGTTTGAATATCAAAAATCTCATCAGTCACCCACTGATGCTTGCTAACATTTGAGTTGTCCCAGGGAACTATCTCAAGGGCATTTGTCTTCTGAATAACAAGAACAACTGCTATCAGGGCCTTGTGTGTTTTAGTAGCTAAATAGCAGAGTAATTATTTGGAAATACGAGTTGGCAGTTTGATCTATGTGTACGTCCTTATTGCTGCACACTGACCCTTGTGCGTTCAGTCTTTTCATAATGTCATTTTTTATTTATCCTGTAATTTGATCTGCCTATGACAAAACGTTTGCTATCAATGCCATAATGCATTGGACCTTTAATGGATTATGTATCCAAGTAAAGTGAATGTGGGATTGTTAATGGCTTACTTGTATTCACTGGCATCAAAGCTGTGTGTACTGAGCAGGGAATTCTGTGGAAGACAGTAAAACTAGTGCAGAATTTACTTCAGTTGCTCAGTAACTGCATGGTGGAACATCCATACTTTGTACCAGTTTGATTTGACATTGGCTGGCCTGTGTATGTTTTTCCTTTCATTTGTTGTTTCATAAAACATCTTTGTTGTAGATGTTTTGTCTACTCTAAAAAGGTGCATGATGTAATCATTTAAACTGGTTATTGTCTAAGCTGATCAGCCCCAATTTAGATACATGTGTTTTCTCGTGTTTTTCAGCAAATTCTTCAATACAGGGGGGTTTTAATTTTATTGAAAGACCTGAACGATCATAAGTTAAGCTTTAGAAACAGTCCTTTTGATATAATAGAGAAATTAAAATTCAGTAAGGAGATTAATATAAACATCAAGACTTCAAGAGCAGTTTCTTTTTTTTGAAGTTGTGTAACAATCTCTTATGGATCATCATAGTTTGCAGAACAGGACAAAAATTAGAAAAGGAAAAGCACATGGATTTTATGCATGAAACTAAATGTGTTAATATAGACGGCCATCCTGTGGCAATGAAAAGTACTGTGGTGTATGTTTTTAAGAAAAAATAGTATTAAGAAACAAGTTTGGGCTTTGGTTGCTTAATTTAGATTGACAGCTGTGTCTTGAACTCAGTATTTTCATACGGCCAGAATGAATAAGCAGTAATTTCTTCCATAACTGCTTATATGGACTGAGCATTGCTACTACTGAACAGATATTGAAAAGGATCAAATTAGCCCCATATAAAATATGTGGAAACAAGCACAGGTTTCTGTAGCATAGCAGTAGTCATTGGATTGCTGAAGGCTGTAGCTTTACATGTTGTTTTCGATCAGTTTCAACTTTCATATGAGCTATAACCAAAGCTGTTGGGTATTTTTCTTTGTTTACTCAGCTGGAAGGTCATCAGTTCCAGGCAAGACTACAGACCCAGGATAAATCAGTGCATTTCAGAAGCACTGATGAATTTATTTGTATTTCTTCAAGAAATGTCTCACTTCAAGGAACAAAACCCTGGCAAGGTAAGCACTCCCAAGTAATACTGACCATTCAATATTGTTTAATAAAAATGTGAGAAAAATTAAAAGAAAAACAAAACCAAGCCACATTCAGTTACGAGTTTCTGCTAATTTTTTGTTCTGGAGAACACAGGTCATCAGTGAGTGAAGCTGCTCACAGTTATGTTTATAGCAATACAGTTGGAACCTCACCAGTCATTCCATGGAAAGGAACTTTAAAACATCACAATTTAATAAAAACTTGGGGGGCGGGGGGGAACCCATAAAAACCAAAACAAAACAAAAAATATACAGTTCCTAGATATACCTATGGGGTGGGGTTTTTTCCAAATAGCTAGTTTTCAGGAATACCTGCACAAGTATTACATGATAGAAAAGAATTCCTCCTATTTAATTGTGATAATTTTTCTTCTATACAGATATAGTTGGTGGGTTTGATTTTTGTTTGTTTTGTTTTTACTGGAAAGACTGAGCTGGAGAATTAACCATTTTATTGCAATTCAACTCCAAAAGCAAATTCATTCTTTCTGCAGACTTTCAACAGATCAGTTCTGTACTCAGCATTGTGTAGGTGTGGAAGACGCACTGTATGTCTTAGTCAGAGCAGAGGCCAAATCCCAGGTTTTATATAGAAAATTCAGCTCAGTCTTGTTGTTCACAGGGATGCTAACACAGCCAACAAACATCAAGAGAATGCTTGCCAGCATATGAGAGAAAACAGTTTCTTGAAGCAACACAACATGGGAGAGATCTGTGCTTACAAGAAGGATTTTTGCTTTTGTAAGCATGCAGCAAGCATGCATTACAATAATTGAATTAGTGATTTGGGGTTTTTCCTGCATATCAACTCTTCAGCCTTTTTTTCTGTAATAAAAATAAAGTAATTTCTAATAATTTTGGCAAAACCCATGAGCTTATTAAATCTTAGTAGCAAATGAATAAAAATAGCATATTTTTATAACAGAAGAGAGGGTACATCCTAATTAGCCAAAATTAATTGTTTGGTGCTTATTTACACCAGAAGTGTTAAAGTATTTCCTAATTAAAAACAAAAAACAAAAACCCAAAACCAAACCAAAAGCAACAAAACCTGCAATTTTCCAGTGCATTCTAGATCTAATTTAGCATGCAACATTTTTCTTTTGAAAAATTATCTGATAATTTAAGCAGTAGAAGTGTTAATGGCCAATTTTAATGTTTTTGACAGTTTTGCCTGCTGGTCTGCAGTGTATGTACATTTTTCACTGTCTTGGGAAGTTACATTCCTGGAGTTGTCCTCTCCTATGTCCTGCGTAAGTAGAGTCTCTTCTTCAATCACCATTTATGTATGTGGTTTGTTCATTATTTGGTCTCTGTGTAGGGAGTGTTTATTTATTTATAGTTACACACGTGTGCAAGTTTGCAGATGACACCAAGCTGAGTGGTGCACTTGGCACACCTGAGGGACAGGATGCCATCCAGAGGGACCTGGACAAGCTCAAGAAGTGGGCCCATGTGAACTTCATGAGGTTCAATAAGGCCAAGTGTAAGGTCCTGCATCTGGGTTGGCTCAATTCCTAGTATGAATACAGGGTGGGGATGAAGGGTTTGAGAGCAGCCCTGCGGAGAAGGACTTGGAGGTACTGGTGGGTGAAAAGCTGGACATGAGCTGGCTTCAGTGTGCGCTTGCGGCTCAGAAAGCCAGTCGTATCTTGGGCTGCATCAAAAGAAGTGTGACCAGCAAGTTGAGGGAGGTGATCCTGCCCCTCTACTCTGCTCTCATGAGACCTCACTTGAATACTGCATTCACCTCTGGGGCCCCTAATATGAGAAGGACATGGACCTGCTGCAGCAAGACAGAGGAGAGCTGTGAAGATGATCAGAGGGCTGGAGCTCCTCTTCTATAAGGAAAGGCTGAGAGAGTTGGGGTTGTTCAGCCTGGAGAAGAGGAGGCTCCAGGGAGACTTTATTGCAGCCTCTCAAGACTTTAAGGGGGCTTATAAGAAAGATGGGGACAGACTTTTTAGCTGAGCCTGTTGCAACAGGACAAAGGGGAATGGCTTTAAACTAAAAGAGGAGAGCTGTGAAGATGATCAGAGGGCTGGAGCTCCTCTTCTATAAGGAAAGGCTGAGAGAGTTGGGGTTGTTCAGCCTGGAGAAGAGAAGGCTCCAGGGAGACCTTATTGCAGCCTCTCAAGACTTTAAGGGGGCTTATAAGAAAGATGGGGACAGACTTTTTAGCTGAGCCTGTTGCAACAGGACAAAGGGGAATGGCTTTAAACTAAAAGAGGGGAGATTCAGACTAGATACAAGGAAGACGTTTTTTACAAGGGTAGTGAAACACTAGAACAGGTTGCCCAGAAAGGTGGTAGATGCTCCATCCGTGGCAACATTTCAAGGCCACTTCCTGGTCTAGTGGGAGGTGGCTCTGCCCATGGCAGGGGGGTTGGAACTAGATGATCTTTAAAGTCCATTCCAACCCAAACCATTCTATGGTTCTGTGATACGTATACATACATATGTAGGTTCTGACAAGCATGTTTTGTCATATGGAACTCAGCGTACAAGTGTTTTCAGCATCTTGATTCTGGCATATTACATAGTCATGTTTCTTAGGTAGAGATACCAAAATCAGACCAAATTGAGATAAGGATAAATGTCACAGTGATCATAAATTGGGTCTTAAAAGAAGTAAAAGAAAGTGTCTGTTGATATGAATACAGTGGTATTTTCTGCAACAAGTAGTAACGGCTTCTAGAAACTGGATTGGACATTAACAGTTTGTCTCATATGGTCGTTTGTCCTGGTTTAAGCTGGGATAGAGTCACTGGCAGAGCACAAGAGACTGAAAAGTCCTTGATTAGGGTAAACGCTACTGAGCAACAACTAAAATATCGGTGTGTTATCAGTGTTGTTCTCAGACTAAAGCCAAAACACAGCACTGCACCAGCTACTAGGAATAAAAATAACTTTATCCTAGCCAAAAACAGGACAGTATTTAACAGTGCGGTTTTATGTAAAACTAATTATATTATGTAAAATTAGTAGTTAACTTATATAAATGCATTGTTTAAGCTTTATTGAGAAACTTCTCATAAAGCAATATTTCAATACAATTTTTCTCTCTGTCTTCATTTTTATCCCAGTATTGTGTGCCTTTTTATGTCCCTTCCTTAAGTGCAATGAATTTGGACAGAAAATGTGCAACAAAATTAAGACTGTTGTGATGAAACTAGATTTTGGAATTGTGGAATATATCAACCAGAAGAAAAAAGAGAGATGTGGTGAGTAATTAAGTATAGTTTCAAGTAATGTATTTCTGTATGCAGAGAAGATTTTTTTCACCTTGCAGACAGTTTGGTTTGTCCTGTGAAGCCAGTTGTAGAGGTATTTCTTGCTTTGAACCTGGCTACTGTTCTTAGCTTTAGGTGGAGTGATAATGTGTGTTGGGTCTCTGGGTATGGTAAAAAGACCCTATTTCATTAAAGGAAACAAGGCAAGACTGGTGGTTCTCTTCATACTCGATTAGATGTACTGCTTTTAGGTTTTCAGAGGAAAATACTTGCTTTAAGTATGCAATGTTTATCTCTATTTAGATAAGGTAAATTTACCCAGGAGAGAGATTCACTCAAGAACACAAAATAAGTACATAGCAGAACTCTTTTTCAGAGACTGAACTCTGTTGCAGTATCTAAATACACCTTGTTTTCACTCCCAACAGCAACAAGAGTTTTTCTTCCCCAAATACTCAAACGCCATTTAAGAATTGCTGTAAGATAGTAGCTACAAATTAATCAAAATTTTTAGTTAGAAAAGGAAGAAATCAGTTTAAAACAAACTCTCAGCTATCTTGCCTGAAATCTTTATAACATTGGAATCTTTGAGATTTTAAGTATTAAAGCTGTTTCAAGAAAAATACTTACATGAACAATGTTACCTTTAGTTTGCTTTTTGTGTGTTCTACAGTTTTGGTAATCAAACCTTTGTAGGGTAGTCATATCACTTGCAGATAGCCTACCATTTTTAGTTAATATTACATCAGTAGATTTAATCTCTGCTTTAAAACATGCATTTCTTGAAGCCATGTATCATACAGTGTGCTGTTCCTAGACACAATGAGAGGAACCATCTGCCTCTTCCCCTTCTCTTAGATGTAATGCAGTAGTTATTGAAATAAGGACTAATGTGTTGAAAATTTTCTTTCATGTATTATTTTACCTTGTTCTGCACTTTTAAGTGAAACTGACAGAGAGAGATCAGAGTATTGTTTCACAGATTTCATAAGCCAGCACTGGGAAAATGGATGAGGTTAGATTTGTTCTTTTCTGTTCTCACTCTCCAGTTTAACTTAACCCAGACAAGTTCCTGACTCTGCTTTCACTTGGGTTCACCACATGGATTCACAAATCCTTGTAGTGACACAAGAGAGGAAACAGCAAGTTGCAAAAATAGGCAACCAAGAGTAATATGATTGCATTTTTCAGCTTATATTGGTTTGAAATATTCATGAGGCTGTTCTCAGATGGAGAGATGAAATTTGTGTGTCCGTTCATCTGTAAGGAACAACATTCTGCCAGACCTCAGTGGATGTTTTGTATGCATATTTGCACAGAAATGTGAATGCAGGGTAGATGGGTGCAAAGAAGAAGGGGTTTGTGAATGACAGTTACATGCAATTACGTAGAAAATTGCATTAACACGCAACAACAGAGACTTCTGAAGTAAGTACAATACAGGTGAATAGATTTCAGAGCAATATTCTGTCTCCTGTTTTGGCTGCTGCACGATACATTTTGATTAATATCTATGTCAGTCAACCTCGTTTCCCTCATCTTAGTAGCGTATTACGTGAATGATGCACTGTGTCAACAGGTGAAAGTTTTGCAGTACTGCGCAAGCTGTGTGACAGAGAACACACACTGAACCTGGAAGTTCATTGTCATGAGTAGGATAAAAAATATTTTTCTTTTCTTTCAGAAACAGCAAAAACAAAACCCACAGAAGATGACAGTGAATTAGACATATCAGCTCTGTGTCCTAAGGTGACTTTTTTCCAGTCAGCCCTGTCTTGCTTTTAAAAATCTATATGGATGACGGAGAGTATCTAGACTACTGTCTCTGTTCTTCTGTGGAAGACTTTAACCTGCCCAGGAGGCTGTGTTCCTGAACTAAGCAGTATGCTTTAAAAGTGATTCATAGTCTCCATCTTTAGTCTTATACTAATTAACTTATAGCATTTGTGACTTCTGGCCTTCAGGGTAATGGTTTCTTTGGCCTACTAAACTAAGACTGTTTGTATTGGCTGTAGAATGTTTAAACTAGAACTTAATAGCAGAGGTGGCTATTTTTGTTTGCAACAGTGAAATTGTAGTTAATTTTTATCAAAATATAAAGGGAAACATTCATAGAAAACCTGCATAACTTGTCAGATATTTTTGTATCGCTTGTCTGATCATATTCAGTGATAGCGCAAATCAGTGTATTACCTATAGATATCTTTTTAGATATGTATGAGAACATGCTAATACAATATCTCATTTCTATCTTAATATTCTAAATAACTGTACGGCAAAGGATTTTCTGTTATAGTCAGAACACTGGTTGATATAGAAAAGTTCAGGTTTATAGGAATTCTTAGGCAGTATTGGATCAGTAGTGATTAGAGCCTGGCTTTGACAATGATTGCTTTAAAGGTATTGTGAAAAAAATTGTATTCTAAAAAAAATAAATTTCTATCCCGTAGGCTAAAAATTTGTAGCTGACGTAATTGAATATTGTTGGATAAATTCATAAAGGATAATGATTTTTATATTTAACTAATTTTTGACTGTTAATGGGCTTGGATTTTGGTCCAAGTTTATGCATTTCTTTACATTTATATGTGTATTTTGTATTTGCAGGCTCATTCTGCTTTCTTTACAGTAGGAATTTCAGAATGAATAACTGGAATTTTCTGTGCTTTAGTATAATACAGCTATCAGTTATTACAAAGAGGAATGCTTCACTTCTAAGTATTGTATCCTACTCTTATTTTCATATGTCTGCAACTAAAGCTTAAATAGGAGGTGATTTATATTTCTGTGACAGGCAAGAGGCTTCTTTTTCACTGTCTAAGCACTGGCTTCCTGTAGTGTGATTTTTTTTTTTTAGTGTAATACCATGTGTTGACCTTTTTTATGTGTAGGTTAATCCTGCAGTTGTTGCCAAAGAGCTATCAGTGTCTGACACAGATGTATCGGAAGTATCTTGGACCGATAATGGGACCTTTAACTTATCTGAGGGGTATTCTCCGCAGACAGACACATCTGATGGTATGTAATGGCTTCATCTATTTCATCAATGAATTGCAATCATGTAAGTTACCTGAAAATGATTAGAGAATTTGAGGACAAGTTTTTGGGGTGGCTGTTGTTTGGTTGTTTGTTTGTTTGTTTTCCTCTATGATGAATTTCACATTAATTCCAGTGTTTTATATAATCTTGATACATCTTGTGTAAGAACTGTCCTATCTTAAAAATAATAAAGTACATCAATAAGTTGATGTATAAGTGATGTATAAGAAATATTTCTAAATAAGTAAGTAGTGGTGGGTAAAACAGCCACATTCAGTAAGTGCCAGATTCAGCTCTCCCACCAAAGCTTTTAAGGAAGTAAACCTTTTAATTTAGTACCAATGCTTTTGTCAGTGAGCTATACAAATAAAAGCTGAGGAAAAAAAAAGTAATACTTTGAACTGCTAGACAGCCAATTAAAGTATTATTAGGTTTTGTTACTAGAATGCTAATGAAGACAGCCAGCAATAAGCCTAAATTAGATGTGAAGACTGGGAAAAGATCCTTGCGCAGTTATCTTGATCTTGACCAGATCTTTAAGTTCTTTTCACAGACTAAGCTTTCAGTGAGCACTTTGCCTGAATAAAGATTAAGGACACCTGTAGTTTCGTGTAATCTTGTCTGTGTATCTGGATTTGTTACTCTGCTTGTTTTGCATTCCTTCTAGGAAAAGTTCACTGTAAAGGAGAAGTAAGGTGATATTACTTAATGACATTATACAGACCAAATTAATAATTTAAATTATTTTGTTAATATTTCAAGTTTTAAGTAGACAGCTTTATATGATCACAGAAGCAGAAGTTGGAGTGAGCTGTTGTCATTCATCTCACCTAGCCTCTCAATCAAAGTAGGCTCAACTTCAAGTCATTCAGGGCTGTGACCAGTTTGAAATTGGAGTACGCCCAGTGGTAGAGATTCAGCAGCCCGCCTGGACAGCCTTTTCCAGTATTTGCTCATCCTTATGATGAAAAGGGGTTTTTTATAGTCAAAAATTTCCCACATTCCAGCTTGTGTCAATTTACTTTCCTCCTTCCACTGTACACCTTTAAGAAGAGTCAGGTCTCATCTTTTCTTTACCTTCCCATTCAGTAGTTAAAGACAAGTATGCAATCCTCGTTTTGCCACCTTCCCTTAAGGCCAAACAAAGCCTATTGTCTCAGCATCTCCTCATACTTCCTGTTCTCCAGCCCCCTAGTAATTGTGCTGGCCCTCCAGGTGACTCACTCCAGTCTTTCATTGTCTGTCTTGTACTGGAGAGGTCAAAACTGGACAAAATACTCCAAATGTATGCTCTCAGGTGCTGAAGAGAGGGGGGAAATTGCTTCCATTGGTTTTCTGACTTCGTATTTACTAGTAGGCACAACCAGTCTGTAGTTGGCCTTGGTTGCTGTAAGGGCACACCACTGAATTGCTGTCCACAGCTCATTTTCTTGAAAGTTGCTTTCTGTCTCGTTGCCCCAACCTGTACTGCTGCACAGGTTATTCCATCCCAGATGCAGGACTTCACATTTGCTTCTGTTGAATTTCATGATGTGTCTTTTCAGCCTGTTCATTTCTCCATCCTGTTGTGGTCCCTCTGAGAGCACCCTGCCCTCCAGAATATCAGACACACCTGCCCTGCAGCAGTTCCTTTCTGCCAGTGAACTTGCCAAGAGCACACTCCATCCTGTCATCCCAGTCATTAACATACACCAAACAGTGGTGGTTTCAGTAGCTTTGAAAGACACCACTAATAACTGGACCCTGTATCGCTGATCACAGCCATCTGACCCTGGCAGTCCTGCCAATTTTCCACTCCCCTTTACAGTTCACTTACCCAGTCTGCTCAGCAATCTGGCTGTAAGGATAGTGTCAGAAACTGCATTAAAGGCATTGCTAAGTGAAAAATAAACAACATCCACTGTACTCCCCGACGGAGCATTTCAGCAAATGGGACATACACACAAATGCAAAACCAGATGGGATCCATCCAAAGACTGGCTCAGCTCCTGTCAAAGCTCTGTGCATTTGAGCCACCACTCTGCATACAGCACAGCCCTTCCTTCTCAGCTTCCCAGCCTGTTTTGGAGAAAATTACATGAGACATTTTTAGGATTCAATTCCTTAGCCGTTATAAATGCTCCTATTGCTTGTTTTCATAGAAAGTAAGTTCAAAGTGATTACTTTTTACCTTCTCATTCAAATACTAGATCAGAGTATTCCCTAATGCTCATTTAGGGCTCTTCCACAGACCATGTACTGTACAGTATGTTTTACACATTTCTAGTAACAAATATCGTGCCATCAGTGCAGCCATTTAAATATAATATTTTGTTTTCATTCTGCTTTTTACCCTCTTGAAAACATGAAACAATTCTGATTATCTGTAGAGTTTCCATTTTCTGTTTTGTATGTAATAAAAGCATTGGCCATGAAAGGAAAAAGTTATAAATTAAGTCTTTACATTGGTTTTATATCTTTATTTAAACACATAAACATTTATTTTTGTTTATTCTACAAGTGTATTAAAAGCTTGTAATATTTGTAATTTACATACATTATGAAGAAAAAGAGTTTAGAGACCTGTTGTTTGTCACATTATAAATCTTAGGACTTTATGTGGCTGATCTATTTAGAACTAGCTGTGGTAAAGACTTACGTGGTTTGTTTCATGTACAGCTAGATACCATTTAAAAAAGATATCTTGCTTACGTAACTTCCTGTGTTTGATACCAGGTGATTTGTGGTATCAGATTTAGGACCTCTAAACTATTTTATTTGAGATGTCACACCCACTGAGCCTACAGAAGGCTGCTAGACTGTGGATTAGTAAATGTATTTAGAGGAACACTTTCAGCATTTTTACTTTTGGCTGCTTTTTGGGGAGACCTTTTGTGTTTGCTGACACTGTTTCCTTCTGTTAACCCTGTAATAGATTTTGACCGACCTAGTGATCATGAAGAAGCATTTGCTAGAGATCTTTCAGAATTTCCTTCTCTAGAAAATGGTGCCGGAACAAATGACGATGATGACTCCAGCATTGGAATGCCCATCCAGCAGAAACAGAAGAAGGAACACACATACTTCAAGGTGGATCATGCTTCCAGACAGAGTAAAGAGAGACCATCCACTGCAGGGCTCTCCTTGCCTTTGACCAGTGACCAAACCTTTAATTTAATGAGTGGAATTGCTGGGGATGTCATCGCAGCTGCGGTGTCTGCTGCTATCAAAGACCAGTTGCAGTCTGCACAGCAAGCTCCCTCACATGCAGCGCCTAGTTTGAGTGAGGAGACAGACACAGAGGAAGCTGATGATTTTGAACTGCTTGACCAGTCTGAGCTTGAGCAGATTGAGAAAGAGTTGGGACTTTCACAAGGCCAAGAAGCAGAATCACAGGAAAAGAAAAAGTCTTCAGGCTTCCTTTCAAATCTGCTTGGAAATCATTAACCTGGAACATAGTAACATAGAAGAAACTAAAAATAAAACACACAAAAAAAATCAAATGCAAAAAAAAAAAAGGAAAATTCTGAGCTGTAAGCTTTAACTATCCCTTTAGATGTGTTGTAATAATAATTTCCCTTATGCAGAGTGAATTAACTGGATAAATTTCAGCTGATACTGATAGTTTAATGTTTATGGTAGTTATACCTTGATGTAATAGCATGGAAATGAATTATCTATCCACTGTTTGGTTGCAAATAAGTGTTGGAGGTCAGTTGTTCAAAAGAGTTGGGGGAGAGGATTTTTTTTATCTTTTTGCCAACCATGTATTTTGGGGTCCTAAGCCTAATCTTCCTCATGGGCGATTTGCTCTTGGTTGCCAACCATGTAATACAATTAATGATTCACACAGCGAGGGTACTTTATCAGACCGAAAAGTATGAACCCTTGCAGTTAGCAGTATGTATGGTACATCTAATGTAGATGAAACACATTAACCAGCACAACTCTAGTTTCAATATGTGTGCGACACTATCAACGAACTTGATTTCATTCTTAAATCCTTTAAATTATTTTGGATACGGTGATGCATTTCCAAGTTTTTTTTCTATTTTAGGCTTCTAGAGTTGTAAAGTGGTATGCTATTCAACTGACTACCTGCTGCGTTCCTTGATAGAGTCTGGTCCTTGGCAGTATTGCCCATGTAGAATCAGCCAAATTTTTTTATTAAAATGTTGGTATCATGTAAACCAAACCATTTTTGGTTGGGAGCAGGTGAGGGGAGTTATTATATAGGTTAGAGATTTTAAAAAAAAAAAAAAAAAAGAGAGAGAGGTATTTTTAGGTGCCACTTCCTTAATTCCAGATTCTGTGGGGTTTGGTTTTTTCCCCAGGATAGCTGTCATCAGTTGCAACAAGAGTTATATTGCAAGCTGAATATTTTAAAATTGTATTTTAAGAATTTATTAAGAAAGTATTTGGTAAGGTCATTTGATATAAAAGACACTCAGAATCTTCTCCTTGGCATGTAATTTAAACGAAAAAGAACTTGTTTAAATTATTTGCAAGTTTAAACTCCACGCATGCTGAGTGAATGGCCTAGGATCTTAAGCAGGTAACTTAACTTTTTCTAGGGCTTTTTTTTTTTTTTGTTCACCTGTGACAAAACTGAATTGCAACAGCAAGCAATAGTAATCAAAGAAATAGGAAGAAGTAAAGCTATTGTTTTTAATGTGATGTAAGCCATTAGCAAAGTTGAGGGACCATGTCAGCTGCTACTACTACTGAAGTGATTTTCCATTTGCTGGCATTTGAAGAGGTGAATACCGTCATTTAGGACCCTCAGAAAGTACAGCAACAGATGATAAAATTCTTCCACTAACATGTATGTGTAGGTAAACCTGTGTTTAAAGTTAACTCCATTTTATTTTATTTTATTTTGAGGTGAAAAACCAGGCAGATGGCCAAAAAGAGCATAGCAAAACGGAAAATGCTGACAATTTTTGACACTAGCTTTATTGTTGCTTGTGCTTTTGTGTCAGTAGTGCATATTGACCGTGTTTGCTGTCCTTTACCAGTAAAAAAGTGAGCCTGTGCCTTCATTATCAAATCCATTACAAAGTAAGTGGATGCTGGATATAGATCCAAGATGCAGCTTTTGAAATTACATCATCTTAACATTAAAAGCAAGTTTCTGGAAATGATTTAAAAAACATGGCCATTGTCACTTCCACAGCATTGGTTGCTAAGTTTCTTTTTTAGCTTCCCCCAGCCTGTCCTTCCCATTTGAAAAACAAAAACAAAAGTAAAAGAAGCTTTTCCTGGGAAATCAGCAAGTTTAAAGGCCATTTAAATTTCTCAGATAAGTTAAAATGCTCATTCCTTGCTGCACGATTAGGACAATCTACACAGTCAGAAGAGTCCAACTTCCAAGTTGCTGGTGAAACTTTGTAGGACACCCAAGCAACTGTGTGCTTCCTTATACAGGAGTATACTGGTGCCAGGAGGGAAACGGGCTACAGCACAGGGAGAGGTGGGAGGGAGGGAGCAGACCTTCACAGGCTTTTCTGGAATGGATTGATGGGGTGGACGAGCTGGCTGTCAATGGTGGCATTTTAACAGCGTGCACTTTACTGTTGTTTTATGAAGAATACTTGTGGTCATAAAAATACATAATGCAGGGGCACTCTTCTAGGGTAATAGAGTAGATCAAGAAGGAAAAGCAGTTGGAGGCGTTTCTTGGACTTTTTGTAAATGATCCATTTTCTGGTTTCGAGATAGAAGACACATTGATTTTTCTCCAGTATGAGTCTCCTATTTTTTTTTTTTTTTTCCCCCGGGAAGAAAAACAAAGCAAAACTTGAACAAGTGAATCATTAAAGTTTAGGGGCATAATTACTTATTTATGAGTATCTTTGCAATTTTATTTTTATTTTCTCATGGTAGTCAAATGCATTCACATCCCTAAATACTGCATAATGGGAAGGAGCTAATATTGTAACATTTGATATTCTTCCTCAGATAGTGGAAAGATGTTTAATTTTCTGCAGGAAATTACCTCTTCTCTCCCAGAGAAGCACACATAAGGAACACTTTGCTTGGACACGATACATTCCACTGCCAGCAGTTTGACAGCAAAACACAAAGAAAACGTTTCTCTCCTTTGTGAGATCCCTTGCACATTGCCTTCAGCTGGAAATCCCTTGAGAAGCCTTCACCTTGCTGTATTCTAGCAGCTGCCACAAAATAGCAGTTACTTCAAAGCCCCTGTCGCAATGGTCCACAGCATCTTTCCTACCGAGCACTGTCATCACCTTCTCATCTTCCAAAACCAAATACACAGGCAAGAAGAAAGGCAAGCGAGCTTTGAAACGTGCGTCTGTTCCGTGGAAAGCCTGCTGGTGTGCCGTGTCCAGTCAGAAGGCAGCACAGGCAGCAAGAGGGCATAGATCAGGGTGTGGACGTATGAGCATAGGACAACAGAGAGTATGCTCTTGTCGTGGAATCAGTACTGCTTGTGTTACCTGCTGTGCTCTCCCCTAGCAGTAAATGGAGGAAGGCATGTATTTCTGCAGTAGTGGGGTTGAAGCGCGCCCCCTCCCTTGCCATGCAGTGACTCCCTCACGCATCCCTATGGTGTGTGTCTGTGGGATGCCGTTCGGTCCTTCGTGCTCATGAAACTTCCCCTTGTGTTAGTACGTCCGAGTGACAGACACAGGGATCACCGCTTGACCAGTGGGTGGCTTTTGCTGTGCCAAATCCAGCATACAAGCACCTGGTTTCAGCACACAGGGCTTTCTGCGTGTATGTACTACATGACTACTTACTGTTCTTCAGTTTATTCAGGATAAAAAAACATATTCCATGCAGAGGAGGGGAAATCATGATAACCCAAAGTAATGGGATCTGAAGAAATACTCATTTTACTTGGGTTTTGTTTGTTTTGCACTTTTTCCAGGCTGTCTAAGCCTTCTGAACAGTTTCCCTGTAGTATCCTTGTCTGTTCTCAGCACACGAGCAGCGTCAACAGTCTGTGAGTAACACCTGTCCAGGTAACCAGAAACTGGAAAATTACAAAAATGTCTTTATTTAAAGCATTTTGCAGCACTTTACCTAGCCTGATTACTATTTTGTAAACATGGGATTATTATATTGATTGTTTGTAAAACCATTTAATAAATATGTGTTAGTTTTTATCTTTCATCGTATAGAATTGTGTGTTTCTTCCCAAAATAGGAAAAAACCGTGACCAAACTCCACAAGGACGCCACCAGACCCCTTTAGCAGGGCTTCTGCTGGTATCTGTTCCCAGCCCAACCTGGGCTTGCACCCACTGAACTGGCCTGACAGTGTTACGTAAAGGAATTATGTATTTATGTATGACATTATGTATGACAGTATTAGGTAAAGGAGAAGGATCTGGGGGTGCTGATTGACAGCTACTGAGCATGAGCCAGCTTGTGCCCAGGCAGCCAAGAAGGCCAACAGCATCCTGGCCTGTATCAGAAACAGTGTGTCCAGCAGGACCAGGGCAGTGATCATCCCCCTGTACTGGGCACTGGTGAGGCTGCACCTCAAATGCTGTGTTCAGTTCTGGGCCCCTCATTACAAGAGACATTGAGGTGCTGGAGCTGGTCCAGAGAAGGGCAACAAAGTGGTGAAGGGTCTGGAGTCTTATGAGGAACAGCTGAGGGAACTGGGGCTGTTTAGTCTGGAGAAGAGAAGGCTCAGGAGGGACCTTATCGCTCACTACAACTACCTGAGAGGAGGTTGTAGTGAGGTGGGGGTCGGTCTTTGGGGTGGGTTTGCTTCGTGGGCTGGTGCACTCTGAGCGCTCTGCGCTGGTAGTTCCAAGGGACATGGAGACCATTGTGGGCTTAAGACAATAGGACTTGCCGTTTTCACATCAGGTGTGCCTTTGGGGGTAGCTATGCCTTTGGGGTACTTTGTTTGTTTGATTTGTTTTGTTGTTCGTTTGTTTTTTCTGTGTGGAATCTGAATTTAGATGTTGCAGACTGGCTTCCATTCACACCAGAAAGGTAACAGTTTAGGAAAAACGAGATCAGAAATGAGCACGTGATTCATGAAGACAGGAAGATGGACATGCACCTCTTCTAATCTGCTTGCTAGTTGCATGTAGTTCTCTGTGTCATGCACGGCTGAACATGAGCCAGCTTGTGCCCAGGAAGCCAAGAAGGCCAACATCCTCCTGGCCTGTATCAGAAACAGTGTGGCCAGCAGGGGCA